CTTCTGGCTTTTTTCTTTTTGCTTATGTGGTGCTGAGGAATTGAACCCAGGGCCTCATGCATGCAAGGCAAGCGCTCTACCACTGAGCCACCTTCTCAGCCCCCATCTTTTTTTTTTTTTCTACTCTTATTCCAAAAGAGATGTGAATGAGTCAAAGGAGATGGAACTTGGGAATAGCTCAATAGGGCCATAAAAATTAATTGAGGTTGGTTGTAGGATTCAGGAAGTAAAGTGGAGAGGAGATTTTTTTGACTCCTGGACAGAAGGTAATATCCAAAGTTCAAGTGGTGGGAGTAGCCTTACTGATTAAAAATTACTCGAGGCTGGCAGGAAATGTGAAGTATTAAGTATAGGGCTGTGAGAGTTGAGAGGGGAAGAATTTTTGGAGCATTTCAGAGCATTGTGGGGAATAGAGGGAGAAAAGAGCCAGAGGGTTTAAGAATATCTATCCTGGAAAAAAGTGCTAGCTGGTCAATGTTTCTTGTGGTATAAAAAGCATATACAGAGGCTGGGAAGGTGGCTCAGTGGTAGAGTGCTTGCCTTGCATGCATGAGCCCCTGGGTTTGATTCCTCAGCCCCACATAAGCGGAAAAAGCCGAAGTGGCACTGTGGCTCAAGTGATAGAGCACTAGCCTTGAGCAGAAGAGCTGAGAGATGGCACCCAGGCCCAGAGCTCAGGCCCCATGGCTGACCAAAAAAAAAAAAGCATATACAAATTGGAAATTGCAAATGCTCACTTGTCTTACCCATTAAGAACTATTAACTTTGTCACAAATATAAAAATAGATGGTAACCAGTTGTATAATAAATGCTGGCTACATTGTTATATTCATTAGATGTCAGTTAGGCACTGACCTTATTTGTGAATACAGCTAGGTGGCTAGTTCTCCTGTTTATTTTTTTTTTAATTTATTTTTTGGTCATAGTTTGCATTGTTTTTTTCCACATTCAACTCAGACTTAATTGAGCCACTCAGCTTTTGCGCATGGCTCTACTTTTCAGAGGTCAGAAATCCTCGGCTGACATGCTTTTTTCTTTTTTTCTTTTTATTTTTTGGGTCCGGTCGTGGAGCCTGAACTCTGGGCCTGCGCACTGTCCCTCAGCTCTTCAGCTCAAGGCTAGCACTCTACCACTTGAGCCACAGTGCCACTTCCAGCTTTTTTTTTTTCTGCTTATGTGGTGCTGAGGAATCGAACCCAGGGCCTCAGGCATGCAAGGCAAGTGCTCTACCAATGAGCCACCTTCCCAGCCCCTATGCTGCTTTTTTTCTGGCCAGAGGGTTCTGAAGTTGGATGGTATGTGTGGGCCTTCTCTGGCTTCCAACACATGTACCACTGGCTATCCCAAGGCGGGGCTTATTCACTTGTATTTGAAAGATATGCTGAGAATGAATGTAAATCTTGATTTGTTCACTGGACCACAATCAGTGGTTGCCAAGAAACAGCAGGATTTCATGTAAGGATGCTATGATCCTGTGCTCAGATTATTTGTCTCCCTCTCCTTTCTAGCATCATTCATTTTTCCATTCCTACTTTTCCATCAACTTCTCAGCTCAAACATTAGTTTCCAACTGCCTTCTACAATCCCAGTCTGATTTTTCTTTGTTTTTATGCATAACATAAATATACTCTTACACTTCACTATAGTCAGTTAATTTGCCTCTCTTTCCTAGTTGACTTCATGAAGACACATCTCCGACCGTCTGGGTTGCTATTCTTAATGTCTGGAGCAACATTTGATACTTCCAAATGAATGAAGAGTTATAAATCATGAAAAAACAAAGTTTGAGCAGTAGGCTATTTAATCGAGAGCCATCTTAACACATAAACTCCAGGCCATCTAAATGTATCATTTCAGATGCTATCAGTGCATGGAATTTTTGATGGAGAGTGGAAATATTCCTGGTTCATTTGCTAACCAGGAACTGGGCCTTTTAGAGTGTATCTCACGGAGTGTGGAGCATATTTCTGCCAAGGGCCATTTGGACATTTATATTATCAATCACTTGGAGCCATAGGAAAATGATCAATAAAGTCAGACTATTGCGGGCAGCCACTGAGCAGCATGAGGACAAGCATACGTGTTTGTTTTGACAAGCATACGTTTTTGTCCCATCACGTACCAAATCATTTCAGGGCCTTATATGGTTCACCAGCCTGGCATCTCTCGCCCCAGCTCCACCCACCGGCACACTGGTCTGTCATTTGCTTGCCTGTCATTTGCGAATCCAGTAGATCTGTGCTCATCTTGGCCTAATTTACACGGTCTGTATCTATAGGCCCTAGAGGCAGTCAGATTATTTATGCTAAAACTCTGTTGTCTTTTACTGGGTGTGAACCGGTCTGGGACCAGAAAGAAGAGGTGAAGAATGCAACGGTTCTACAGAGAGCCTTCCTAGATCTCCTTGGGGGGGGGTGTGATTCCCCTCCCTGTTCCTGCGACCCCAGGGCCCCGCCATCCTAGGCAGAGCAGCTCTGAACTTTACCTGCGTTCATGTGAACGCTACACAGTTGATTGCACGAGGTAACCAACAGGATACGTTTTCATTCAGTCTTTCAATTCTTCTGCCCAGAAAGATGCCAGAGGCAGAACTAGGTATTTGACAAATTATTTCCTGGCTTGGCCTCCGGGTCTGGTCTGGGAGATCCGACGGCCACTAGGGCCCGCCTCACTTGCCCTCCGAACCCCAACAGCCACCACCCCTATCCCCGCCCCCGCCCATCAGGGGGCGGGGCGCAGCAGGGCGCCCTCGCGGGGTCCGTTCTCCGGTTGGGGCGGGGGGAGGGAGGGTCACTAGAGAGGGGGTTCCGGGGCGACGCGCGGTGACGGCTTGGCCAATGAACGCCGGCCGGGCGGGGCTGGCGGCGGCTCGGGCGCGGGCGGGGCGGGGCGTCTATGGGTGACGCGCCGAGCTCGGCGGGCCAATGGGCGCAGGGGGGCCGGCGGGCGGGTCTGGAGGCCTGGGGCTTTAGGACGCGAGCGGGCGGCGGGACAGACTGACGTGTGGCTGCATCGCGGGAGACGCATGGCTGGGATGGCGCTGGCGCGGGCCTGGAAACAGATGTCCTGGTTCTACTACCAATACCTGCTAGTCACGGCGCTTTACATGCTGGAGCCCTGGGAACGGACTGTGTTCAGTATCCTGCCAAGGGACGCGGGGCTGGGGCCGGGGCTGGGGCCGGGGACGTGGGGGCGGGGGTCACATCCTCCCTGTCCTCGGCTGGACAGGGTCTGGGGGAGGGGGTGGCTGGGTGCGTCTGGATTCAGGGACCTGGCTTCTGGGCGGTGCGCGGCGGGGGCGGAAGGAGTGGCGGTGGTCTCGGGGCCGAGGGCAGTGATCATGCGATCTAGGAGGGGCTCGAACCAGCGATCACAGGTTTCCGATGAAGTCACGATGAAGTCACCGGGTTAGACGCACTTTCATTTCTGCAGAAACTCCCCGACGGCGTCGTGGCGCCCCGTGCGTCCTCGCCTCCAGTTGGGTCTTGTCTGCCTTAGGTCTCCGGTTCTTGGGCGAGGTGGGCGCGGTGTGAGTGAAGCACCGTCGCTCCGGGCTTCACACGTCTTTGACCTTTAAGTGTCCCGGTTTACCTGGTTTAGGACCTAATGAAGATTCCCATCCATTTAGCAGCCTTTTAACGACGTCCCGAACTTGTGTTTCTGATAGCCCAATGCAGTTCTGGAAAGCAGCTTTAAAAGTTACTGGACCTTTTTGATCTTCAAAATGGCAGTTTTAAAAGTGGGTTTTATTGATTACTTCTTTGCACTGTAGGGCCCGGAGAGGAACCCTAACTTACCCGTTAGAGTTTCAAACTGTTTTGGTTTATAATTAGCAAATTTTTGTTCCGAACATACTGATTAGGAGCAAGTCAGTTAACTATACTGAGAGCAGTTTGCTGGTGTCTTAATCTCGTGTAACTTTCACAGCAATCCCGATGATTGCTCGAGGTTGTGAAGGCTGTGATGTTTGTTGTCTCCTATTAAAGCTGACATCCTTTGATATTGTTCTTACAAAATAAGTACTGAGTGGGAGTGAGGTATGTCTTTTTTTTTTCACTTTCGGGTCCAATATGAACCAGATATTTCACATTAGATATGTACAAAGCTCTCCCTTTTCCATCCGGGGTCAGTGGAAATAGCTTCCTTGGAAATAATTTTATAACTGCATTGTTGCATTCCAGTAAATGGCCGGAATTCCAAGCTTTTAAGTGTGTTGGTGTTAAAATTGCATGAGATTGTACTCAAAGCTGGCTTTTGTTTCAGCCCTTTTGAAGAATTTTAGCTGCTTATAAGGCGATTAATTTATTATAGTTAGCATTCCTCCCACTCCCAAATGTGGAACTTAACTGTTTAGTTGAAGTCTGCTTTATTTCCTGCATCGTTTATTTATTTGGTCTCTAGGTTCTGTAGATTAGATCTCATCAGGTCATACCTTGTAAAATGCATGTTTAATTTAAAAGCTAGTAATCCTGACTCAGAATCATCTTAGTAGAGTTAAAACAATGTGAGATAGATTGAAATTCTCTAAATCAGAGGTTGGATATAGAATTCAGTACTGTAGTAGAGTCTCGAGTTCACACATACATAGGTTGATTGACATATATGTAAATGCTAGTGTCAATGGTGTTAAGATTTTTCTGTATTATATTACAATAGTAATAATGCCTAGTAAGCACTCCTTTTTGAAAGTGGAGAAATAAATAAGAAAGTGAAATATAATGCCTTAGGTTTTTAGTTTTGATGTTTTTTTGACTTCTCACTTGTTTATGAGATTAAGGGATTTCTTTTTTCTTTATATTTTTTAGAATAGTGAGAACTGAAATGAAATGGAATCTTGTATTGTGGTTCTTAGGATTTTAAATCTTATTTCAAAGTTCATGTTATTGGATTAACCGAGATAGAAATGCAATCCTCTGACATAGATAACTCTTAATGAATATCAGCTGCTGCATTTGTTGTTTTTCATCTGACTTCTAGATTATTTACTCATTTATTTAGTGTGGTTACTGTGACTTGAACCTCAGAGCCTGGGTGATGTCCCTGAGCTTTTTTTTTTTTTTTTTTGCTCAAGAATAGTGCTTTAGGGCTGGGAAGGTGGCTCAGTGGTAGAGTGCTTGCCTTGCATGCATGCGTGAGGCCCTAGGTTTGATTCCTTAGTACCACATAAGCAGAAAAAGCTGGAAGTGGCCCTGTGGCTCAAGTGGTAGAGTGCTAGCCTTGAGCTGAAGAGCAGTGCCCAGGCCCAGAGTTCAGGCCCCATGACCCACACACAAAAAAAAATAGTGCTCTACCACTTGAACCACAGCTCCATTTCCAGCTTTTTGATGATTAATTGTAGTTAAGAGTCTTATGGATGCTGGGTGCTAGTGGCTCACACCTGTAATTCTAGCTACTCAGGAGGCTGAGATCTGAGAATCTCCATTCAAAGCCAGTCTGGGCAGGAAAGTCTATGAGACTTTTATCTCCAATTAACCACCAGAAAACCAGAAATGGTGCTGTGGTTCAAGTGGTAGAGCACTTGCCTTGAACTGAAGAGCTCAGGGACAGTGCCCAGGCCCAGAGTTCAGGCCCAGAGTTCAAGCCCCATCACACACAAAAAAAATCTCATGGACTTTGCTGTCTGGGCTGACTTTGAAGCTCAATCCTCATAATTAAGCCTCATGAGTAGTTAGGATTCTAGGCATGAGCCAGCAGTACCTGGCTGACCTATATTCTAAAGGAAATGTATCTGCTGTCAAGTTAGATACATTGTTAAGTACTTGAAAAATAAGATTTATGAGTTTTATAAATTCTTCCCTTTCCATCTATCTTTTGATAGAACATTTGAAGTGATATATTAACTTTTGGTTTATCAACCAATACTTGAACTTTTTTCATATGTGAACACAGTTTTTATGACTTGTGTTAAGACAAAATAACAATAAATAGTTTTTTAAATACTAGTACTTTATACTAGTATTTACTACTAGTATTAAAGTTATTATTAGGAAAGGAGTTGGATACTGAACAAGAACCACTGGCTTCATGTGGGGAAGGAAAGTTTTAACTTTTAGATAATTTTCAAAGGTCTTCTTTTCTCCTAGAAGCCTAAGGTAGCAAGGAAAAGAGAAAATTTTGTAACCAGGAAGATTTTGTAACTAGCCACATATTTCCTGTGGAGCCTCATATAATAAATAATAACATTGTAACCAAGTCTGTTATAGAAAAGTGAGCCACTTAAAAACAGTTCAAATGAATTTTACCAATCTGGAAGCCAGTGGCTCATGGCTGTAATCCTAGCAGTTTGGGAGGCTGGGATCAGAGGATGACAATTTCAGGCCAACCTTGGTAAAAAGTTCTTGAGACCCTCATCTCACTAAAAAAACAACAACAAAAGCTGAATGTGGTGGTGTCTGTCATCTCAGTTATACAGAAATATACATAGAAGGATTGAGGTCCAGGCTAGTCTGTACAAAAAAGAAACCAAGACCATGTAAACAAACAAGCTAGAGCTATGAACACTGGTGGCTCATGCTTGTAATCCTAGCTATTCAGGAAGCTGAGATCTGAGGATTACAGTTTGAAGCTAGCCAGCCAGGCTAGGCTGTGAGACTCTTATCTCCAGTAAACTACTCAGAAAAAAGTGAGAAGTGAAGTGGCACTGTGGCTCAAGTGGTAGAGTGCTAGCCTTGAGCACCAAGAAGCTCAGGGACAGTGCCCCGGTTCTGAGTTCAAGCCCCAGGACCAACCAACAAACAACAACAAAAGCACAGCAGAAAGGGTTTGGGGTCTGCCTAGCAAGCATGAAGCCTCAAGTTCAACCCCCCCCTACTCCTTTTTAAAGGAATCAGGATATATTTGATTTACTAGGAATTGAACATAGGTCCTTGCTTCTTCTAGTAAGTACTCCACCAGTAAGAAACCTGACCTTAAACCACCTTTAAGGTAGTTCCGGAGCTTGTCTGATTTTTTTGCACTCCACAGTGCTACAAATCCAACCCAACACCTTATGCTTGCTAGCAAGTGCTCTAGCATTGAGCTATAACCCCAGCTCTGAGCATGCCTGGTTAATAGAATTCAGATCACAGAACTCAAAATTTTAGAGTCAAATCTGGCATAGTGTTGCAGTTCTGTAATCCTTGCATGCAGGAGGCAAGTTAGAGGCCAGCTAGGGCTGAATAGCAATACCGGTCTAAAAAAAATCAAATTTAGAGAAGAAAATACTATTGGAAAACTTTTTTTTTGTTGTTGTTGTTGTTGATTATGGGGTTTGAACTCTGGGCCTGAGCGCTGTCCCTCAGCTCTTCAGCTCTACCACTTAAGCCACAGTGCCATTTCCAGTTTTCTGGTGGTTTATTGGCGATAAAGAGTTTCACAGCTTTTCCTTCCTGGGCTGGCTTTGAACCGTGATTCTCAGATCTCAGCTCCTGAGTAGCTAGGATTACAGATGTGAGCCACTGGTGCCTGGCTTGTTTAAGAGAACTTTGATTTATCTTGGTGTTGTTAACGATAGGAAAATGGTTACTGAGTTCTATCTGCCTGTATTATGTACCTTCTACTTGTCAGATGCTATTCTACATACTAGAGCTACAGCTAGGAATAAATCAAATTTCTTCTAATGCCACTAGATAAGTAAGCAAAGTATATGGACTGTTAGATTTTTTTTTAATTACTGGAATAAAACAGGAGAGCGTGGAAGTTTTGAAGAGGGAGAGAACATATGGAAAGCTAATTAGGGGGTATAAGCATTACAGGCCTAGAGCACAATGTTAGATGCCTCCAGCATGAGCATGTCTAGTGCAGGTCTGGTGTGTTCCAGGCTCTGTTCAGAGTAACAGAGGCAGTGGCTGGAGCCAATAAGGGAATGGTATGAATAATAGGAAAGGAAATTAGCTGACATGGGACTTCCTAGGCCAGTGGAATAGGGTTTGAGGAAAATAAGGAAGATGTGTATACTTTTTGAATAGATTTACTGGCTAAAAATCTGGTAACAATTTTCCCAGTGACATTTGATACTTAATAAAGTGGAAAAATAAACCTCAGTAGCTATGGGCTCCACAGGTATGGATTCAATCAGGGATCCAAAATATTATTATTATTATTTTTGTCGGTCGTGGGGCTTGAACTCTGGGCCTGGGCGCTGTCCCTCAGCTCTTCA